AAAACAATTACGTGCATGAGGGTCAATCAGATAGAAACACTCCATATGCTTTATATAAAAGCATATTTATATTTAACAAACGTATTTGCAATAGGCCCTTTCAAGGTTTATTCCGCCATATTGCCGGGGGTGCAAAACATCGGGGCGAGCGCGTGGCCAAGCCATGCCTGCCATATATTTTACTAATGAGTGAGCGATAATTTTGTGTGGACGTTTTGTTGATTTTCTCATGCTATATTAAAAGATAGTACAAACTTTTGTATTCTGGCTGATCTGTAGATTTCAATGGAATCTGATTGGGGGAAATCCGTGAATATGCTGATTTCTTCGACACCTTTCGGCGAGCTGTTCACAGTGGATTCACGACAGCTAAACGCCAAAAACAGGGCTTTTACGTCCCTGTTTGTTTAAACAAAACAACATTACAAAATAATCATGTTTAAAAACAATACAACAAAGCTGTCGGGAAAGAAGAAAGACGTCCAGGTGCGAGAGTGTAACCTGATACCAATGTCAATCTCACCTTTAATTTATATATGACATACTATTAGTAATTAGATATAAGAGATAAACTTCTAAAAGTAGGCGAATCCAAAGGGTATATAATATTGAGAGATATTGAGAGTTTCAGTTGTTCTCATTGGCAGAACCACCACCATAGCCAACTGCATGAGAGCAAAACACAAGCAGAAGGAACAGTATCTACAATGCTGTTCAATAATCTTAAAAACCTGCCTGAAGTTTTGATAAATTTTTGTGACTATCAATCAAATTCATCAAAGTAGCACAAGAAACTCATCAAAACTTCACAAGTGGTATAAAAGAACGAATTATGTAAGACATATTCTCTCTAAACTAGAAAATACATGCATGCAGAAACCCTCGCCTTGCTGACAAAACCATTGTATTTTCCAAACATGAAGTATCCAAAGTTGTTGCCATGGTAATAACACGATAATTTTTTAAGAATATTCTTACAAATGAAAAATTGCCTAAAATATCAATTTTAATTACAAAATTATCAATTTCCCAACATATATTTGTTAGGTATGTTATTATACGTAATATAAGCTTCAATTTAAGGTAAAATTCAACCACAAAAGCTTCGCAAAACATTTTAAAACGTTCTTTATAAAACTAAATTGCCTGGCTTTAATTAAATGGCTTTATCGATAAACTTTGAGTTTGCAACAAAATGATTTCAAATTCTCGCATGCAAATAACTTTGCTTTCTTTTTAGTAAAAAAATTGAATATAATAAAAAAGGAATCAATATTAATAATACACTGAATTGACTGAAATTATATGCTGTCTTGTTTAGTTATTTCATATACGCAAAGGGCCAAAGGCCGTCGGGTTTTAAAGCAATTATAAAATCAATATTTAACACAAACTTACCTTCGTTAACATCGGCCCCCTTCTTTTAGCCGATTCTTTCGCCGTTTCTATCTTGAAATTTACAAAATCTTGCAAAAATGCGAGTAAAATTGAAGTATATTTGCAAGAAATTTATCAATCATCAAATCTGTGATCAAATCAAGAATTGTTTGCTATTTCGTTGTCGTCATACAGTCGTTATGATGCAAACTTTAAATTGGACCAATCAGTGTCCGCTATTCATGACAGTCCGCCATACTTTGAGATCAGTGAGGATGACCACCCACTCAACACCGTTGGTCACCCACGCCCGCGATACTTGATGAACTTTAGACTCCGCTAATGCTTTCGTTTCCCCGGGTGTAAATAGCCGGGGGGAATTAGTACCCTCGCACGGCGCTTCGCGCCGTCGGCTCGGGATAATGGAGTTGATGTATGGAACTCACTAAAATAAAAAATAAAGACATAAACTCTGAATACATCTTCAAAAAACAAATTAAGCAGCATTTTTTTATGAAAGCATTCTATTTGCACATTATTCTATTTGCATATTATTGTTCCTCTATTACTCTGAAAATTCTCTCTCTGATTTGACTGTAAAATAGAATAATATATTATAAATCTAACAGTTAACTATAAACCTTTACTAGGGGCCTAAAGCAAAAAGCCTGACAAGGTATCTAGTGGGTCTTTAGCCTAAATTAAAATAAGGAAAAAAATGTAAATATTGTCTATGGAACTGTACATAGGGGAGAAAAATTAAAACTAAATAAATAATTAACTTGTCCTATATGTAATATATAGAGGTTAGTGAAATAGTCACTGCAATCAGTTAGGTCTCGACCTCCAACATTTCGGTTGACGGAAAAAAATTTGAATCTCCCTCATAAATATACGACAATGCGTTAGTTATTAACTTTTAATTATTAACTTCCAAATATTATATACATCAGTCATTACGCAGAATTACGTTTCGTAAATACAGCAGTGCTTCCATTTTCAAGGAAATTTCCTTTTCTAAGGAAATTCTAGTGTCGAAAAGGAAAATCCAAGGAAGAGAAAAAATCTAAGGAAATCTAAGGATTTTTTCCGAACAACTTAAATATTCATCCAAGTGCATTAGTGCAGACGAAAGTTTCACTATTTCTTGACTTTTTGAGTGAATTATCAATTGTGTTTAATTAAAAATCTGTTTTTAACTTTTCCTCGTGTTTCCGAAAACTTTCGAAAGTTTTTGAGCGATGGGATTTAGTAACTTTTGGCGCCAAACGCTGTGAATAATTAATTATTTATATCAATGGGAAGGTATATGTTGTAAAAGCATAACAAATATTTAATTTTAAACAGTGTAATAGCCTGTGGTTTTTTAGCTAGCAATCATCTTTGTTAATTGTGCTATTTTCTGCCTTTAACATTGATTAAATCCTTTGTATCGCTACAAAAGCACTGCAAACCGCCTAATGAAATTTCAAGGAATTTTCAAGGAAATTATGTATACAATCTAAGGAATTTAGGGAAATTTTGATGATAAAAATGAGAAATTTTGATTTTTAAAATGGAAGCACTGGGCTAAGTGTTTGTTTGCCTGTTTGTGAAAAGAAATACTTAAAGACAACGCTTAAATACATCAAAGAAGCACAAAATCCGAAGTTAAAGACAGGAGTAAGGTATATTCTATCATTTTGATGTGAAATGTTGATATTTTAGCGAGATAAAGTGGTTAAAACTACTTGTCGAAGTTCACGACCGCAAGTCGCTTCACGTTCGACGTTCGTTTTGTACTTTTGTTCTGGCTAAAGATACTGAATTATAGCTTACATTTCGTGAAGTTTAGTTTAAATTAGTAGGGAGAAGAGTGCATAAAGTATTTAGGGTATTTTGGAGCTAAGTTTGTTTTAAAATTTGTCATTTTAGCGAAAACAAGAAATGTTGAAATGTCGTCCACGTGGTTGCTGCGAGGAGACATCGGGCATTGTAATGAATGGATGACAACGTGTGTCGCTGGGCCGCAAACCTATTCCCTCACTGCGGTAGGCAGTCAAGTATTTTTAACCTGCACATTTTTGTTTTTATTTCCCGTGTTTTTATTTTTTGTTCATAAATATCATGACTCATGACTTTAAAGCTGGAAGGAGTTGAGATTCCCCACTCAACTGCATGCCTTCTGAATATTTATACACTCCATTTTACATGCTACCATTTTACCAGTAAGAATTTTTTGAAAATTTTGTGATTTGAAAGCTGTTGCATTTCAACTATACCGAGCGCAACTATAAATAAATTCTTTGTACGTATAAAGCCCGTTCTCCACTAGGCGAATTTATTCGCGCGAACAGATAAAAAGTAGGAAGCTATCCTACTTTTTCGCCGCAAATTTTTTCGCCGACCAATCACGTTGCCGGATTTCGGTTTTCGCTTCGCGTCGCGCGAACAAATTCGCGTAGTGGAGAACGGGCTTAAAATAGGTACGCTGTACGCATTGCATACATATGGCAAGTTCAAAGCATGCATGGGCAGTGTAGGCAGTTGCGATA